CATCCAGACTGCCACTCTGCGCCCAACCTTATGGAAGAGGTACGTGGATGACACTTTTGTCATCTGGCCACATGGCCGGCCTGCTCTAGACCAATTCTTCGACCACATCAATTCCATACACCCAGCCATCAGATTTACCATGGAAGTCGAAATAGATGGCAAGATACCTTTTTTGGATGTCCTAATTAAAAAGAGACCTGATGGTTCAATGAGCCACTCTGTCTACAGGAAAGCTACCCATACGGATGCTTATCTGAAACCGGATTCCCACCACCATCCATCACAGAAGAATTCTCTCATCAAGACTCTGTATCATAGAGCCCAATGCATATCCGACCAGGAACACATAAGCAGTGAACTCAAGCACGTACACCAAGCTCTTAGGGCTAATGGTTATTCCGACTATACAATCCGCAAAGCTATCACTCAAACCATGAAGAAGAACCCTCTTGAGGAGCCTTTCAAAACCATCACTTTACCCTACATTGCTGGGATCACAAAAAAGATCTCCAAAATCTTGAATAAACACAAGATCCAGGTCCGTTTCAACACATTACATAAAATCCGTGATCTGGTTCCGTCTGTAAAAGATGTGATTCCGGACATACAATACCCTGGTGTCTACAAACTAAGTTGCCTCTGTGGTAGTAGTTACATTGGAGAAACCAAACGCCATATCTCGGACCGCATTCGTGAACATAAAGCAGACCTTAAACACGGTAGGACCAACACCTCGGCCGTAGCAGATCATTGTTCTAATTCAGTAGGCTCACATGCCATTGACTTTTCCAAGACGGAGGTTCTTTGTAAGCCATCTGGCTTCCATGAGAGATTCGTTCATGAGGCTATCCACATATACAAACACAGAGACAATTTCAACCGAGAAGATGGATTCTATCTTAGCAATCATTGGAAAGATTTGATAAATCATTTCAGTTCTTGATTGATTGTTCACACTTACAGTGGCTTTCAGACAGCATACATAAAAACAAATTTCGTCTCCCCCCTCCTCTTTTCAAAAAATAGATGGACTAGTCCTGGGCAAACTGCCAATCGTTGCGCGTGACGCAAACGTTATATATTTTTATATATAAATAAATAAATATGCCGTTTTCTAAATAAATTTATGCAAACCGACACACCTGATGATGACCGTTTGAGTTATGGTCGAAACGTCGTGAGAATTTTTTATTGTTTTATATATATTTTGTTATTTTGTTGTTTCTCTTCAACGTGACTTTACCGAAAAAACTAAGAATATGTGTACGGTCATTAAGGTCGACCATACTTCACCACGCGTGGGCAGTGCGGGTTTATTTAATTGCGTGTCTTCATCAAAACTGTTAACGCTTGTTGTACTTAACCTGCAATAATGCATTTTCAGGACTGAGATGAACATTTAACCATATTATCTCCATATATATAAAAGGCAAAGTTGTGAATGTGTGTGTCTGTTCTGTTTAGCGTACTTCCCGACATGCAACAAACTGGAAATTTGCCTTGTGGGTACTTTCCAGACTGTAAACCATGCAAAAATTATAAAAAATACATTATTTATTTTGGGGAGGGGGGGGCCCAATAATGCATATTTGTTTTGCACGGCAAGTGAGCTGTGACGTCAAATCTGTCACGTGACCCTCGCATGTGGCAGCGTAACGCAATGTAGTGTAGCGGTTAGCGCGCTGTCTGTGTGTGTCTGTGTGTGTGTCTGTGTGTGGAAGCGTAACGCAATGTAGTGTAGGGGTTAGCGCGCTGTCTGTGTGTGTGTCTGTGTGTGGAAGCGTAACGCAATGTAGTGTAGCGGTTAGCGCGCTGTCTGTGTGTGTCTGTATGTGTCTGTGTGTGTGTCTGTGTGTGGAAGCGTAACGTAATGTAGTGTAGCGGTTAGCGCGCTGTCTGTGTGTGTCTGTATGTGTCTGTGTGTGTCTGTGTGTGGAAGCGTAACGCAATGTAGTGTAGCGGTTAGCGCGCTGTCTGTGTGTGTCTGTGTGTGTGTCTGTGTGTATGTCTGTGTGTGTGTCTGTGTGTGGAAGCGTAACGCAATGTAGTGTAGCGGTTAGCGCGCTGTCTCTGTGTGTGTGTCTGTATGTGTCTGTGTGTGTGTCTGTGTGTGGAAGCGTAACGCAATGTAGTGTAGCGGTTAGCGCGCTGTCTGTGTGTGTGTCTGTGTGTGGAAGCGTAACGCAATGTAGTGTAGCGGTTAGCGCGCTGTCTGTGTGTGTGTCTGTGTGTGTGTCTGTGTGTGGAAGCGTAACGCAACGTAGTGTAGCGGTTAGCGCGCCGCACTACGAACCCGGCTACCACCGGTGACGATTATTTGAACCGGTCCTGGGATTCCCCTAGGTCGACTCAGCCTCAAACGAGTAACTGGTGTGGTGTGTGAACATCGCCACTGGGGAGACAAAGGTGAATCCAAGTCCCGGGCGAAGCCGGGTAGTAAAGCTTGTAATTTATATTAATCAACGCGTTATTATAACACTTTGGCATTTCAATTCAGAGGGTCGCTGGTTCGATTCGAGCAGGTTTTTCAAATCACGTTCTGCTGTCCACTCAGTTTTGTTTGTAATCGACACGCCACTGATTGTGTGTGGTGGGGTGAGGTGTGAGTAACCCCACAGCTTCCCTGCTTCGGCACAAAATGTGTGTTTAAAGAGGGGTTACCTGTCGCTCTCACTTGCGACGTGAGGAAGCAATTGCAGGGCCGCACCTTTACCAAAATATTTCGTTTGCAGTAAGAGCAGCTGTTCAGAACGTCACAGCAACAATACAAACACACACACACACGATAGGAGTGCAAAGTATAGGAAAGGTAAACAAATCACTTTAAATATATAGACTAATAAAACTAAACAATTGTTTTTTTTCCTTACCAGGTAAATGTTGACAAATGCAGTGCAGCCCTACTTGCGCGAATGTCCACGTCCAAACTGTTCGGTGCAGGAACGCTGCAAATGAACAATAGGTTCACTTTACATTATGAGACCTCCTTTGCCAGTAGCAATATATAGTAATAGGTTTTTACCCTTTTATCTGGCACCAAAACTGACGCCTTTATACAAGAGATCATGTTTGCAATAACCACAACACAAGCAGTCAAAATGCAAACAAAAAGAGACAACTCTGATAATAATATGCACTGTCCTTGAAATTGATTGGTCCACACCCGAGACGGCTTTTCTTAGAGCCTAGTCTCCTCTGGTGTTGGACCAGATGACGCCAAAAGGCGTCAAAAGGCGTCTTGTGTTGTGGTTATTGCAAACATGATCCCTTGTATAAAGGTGTCGGTTTTGGTGCCAGATAAAAGGGTAAAAAACCTATTACAATAGGCTCACTGACGCCTCCAAAGTGGATTGCATAATGCTTTGAGATCGTCTAAGTCTCCACTCAATAATTAGTAATTAATCACCGCATGAGGATCAATTTAATTTTTATTCAAAGTGATCAATGTATAGATACCCCACTAACAATGACAGGCACAATGCATAGAGGAAACTGCATTTGAATGATCGGCTTGCACGTCGCCTGCCATGGTGTAGCGGCCAGAAACACTTAAGACTTTTAGTCCAGATGTCGCAGGCACAATTCAAGCCACTAACAACGCTTCTTCTCTCAAATCCCTTTCGCCTCCGTTCACCCAGTGAACAGCAGCAGTTAGTCGCGTTTCGTGGGTTAAAGCGCGGGTGACTCCCACCTCCACCAAAACGTCTGGCGAGCGTGGAAATGCAGTCTAAATACCCTCTAAGGAGGTACTATAGAGGGCCTCTACAGCTCTATCTAGTGGAAGGCTCTTCCGCCAGTCATAGCCTTCTTTACCAGTCTCAATGCACGTATATAAATCACGTTAACGCTCTCCTCTGTAATATATGGAGCCATATTTTTCACAGTACTGTAGTCCAGACTCTTTGTTTGGTTCTTTCGGTAAAGTCACGTAGGCATAAAATAAAATACATTGAATCACAACGTTTCGGGCGCAACACAAACGTCCGTCATCAGGTGGGACAACCACAGCTAGAAACAATTGCTGAAGTGGGCAGATTCAAATCTAGATTAGTACTGTAGTCAATCGGCTGTGGGGGAAGGGCATCAAGACTCATGCCACGTTGAGGTCTACTCAGCGGCAGAGCGAGCGGGTCCCAATCGGGGAGGTTGCGGGTTCAAATCGTGGTTGGGGTGGATTGGCTCAACCCATCATCCTTCCGGGGTCGATACAATTAGTACCACTTTGTGTAGAAGTCAACAGTGGTTGTCCTATGGATGAACTCGTTCCTTTCATAGGAACGTGGAATGTCCATCACTTGCTCGGGGCTCGATACAGGAGGTGAGCCTATGTATAGACTCGCCCCAGCCATAGGAACGTGGAATGCCCATCACTTGCTCGGAGCTCTAAACAGGTGAGCCTATGCATAGACTCGCCCCAGCCATAGGAACGTGGAATGTGCATCGCCTGTTGGGGACTCTAAATAGGTGAGCCTATACAAGACTCGCCCCTAGCCATAGGAACGTGGAATGCCCATCACTTGCTCGGGGCTCTCAGCAGGAGGTGAGCCTATACATAGACTCGCCCCAGCCATAGGAACGTGGAATGCCCATCACTTGCTCGGGGCTCTAAGCAGGAGGTGAGCCTATACATAGACTCGCCCCAGCCATAGGAACGTGGAATGCCCATCACTTGCTCGGGGCTCTAAGCAGGAGGTGAGCCTATACATAGACTCGCCCCAGCCATAGGAACGTGGAATGTGCATCACTTGCTCGGGGCTCTAAACAGGAGGTGAGCCTATACATAGACTCGCCCCAAGCCATAGGAATGTGGAATTTCCACCACTGGCTCCGGTGGGGGGTGTAAACAGGTGTATAAACAGGTGCGAGCAGCAACACGTTGACTGTCGATTGCTGCGAGGACTGATTGCCAATCAACCTGCACGTGCAGCCGGTCGCGTAAAGTTCATTCAAAGGCGTTGCATACCCATAAAGTTATCCTGCAGTGGCGGGTATAAATATCGCGAGACTTGAACAGCGTCTCGCGAGACTTGGGGCCCGTTTTTACCAGTTATTTATTATTTTATTTCTTGCTTTGTTTACAGTGGGACTCAACAGCGGCGGAGGTGACGGGAAAGCCACCAAGGAATTAACCCCCAGCGGAGGTGAGTCTCTGCCAGTCTGTCTACACCGTCTCCCTTCTACGAGCCCTTTTAAATTGTCGTGGTAAAGCGGGGAGAGCGGGTATCCCGGGACCCCGGCGAGAGACGCCTCTCGCCTAGATCCGGTACCGGCTTTCCTTCGAGGTCCCCGGCAGCTCCGCCAGCCCGTGGCGCTTAGGCCTCTCGGGGTCCGTGCACCTCGCTTTTCTTGCTCATTCTCGCCTCGTTTGTCGTTTACGTTCCAGTTGTTGTAGTTTAAACTCGTGGTGCATATGGAGGCGAGTGGTAAACCGTCACCTTGTTTGCAGGGATTGATGTCTGGAAGCGAGTGTAACAGTTGGCGTATGTACTTCTGTTTGCTGTGCTTCGGTCGGGGCGGACTGGCTCCCGCCGTGAGAATGTGGAATTGGCAACGCTGCTTCGGACTCCGGCTAAACCGAGCGACGTCCCATTGCGCGTTAGAGCTGGGAGACTCTCTCTTGTACTCGGCCGTTCACCAAAGTACACTGCACAGCAACTTGTGAGCGATAACTGCTGTTTTATTTACTTAAGCAAGACATTAATAGTTGTCTGAAGTTCGTAATTCACCAAATGACTTGGCTAACGAAAGTGAAACGGATGTAGGTAAAGTTCCTCCGTCTAAAACTACTGCACTGTTTTGAGTCGACGTTCCACTTTTTGCGCGTTACGGTTGCAGAACTTAAAGCACGTGACCTTATTTCATTGACGAAAATGTCATTGACTTGTATTCGTTACAAATGTGCGAGTTTGTCTGGCCACCCCTTTTTTACCATGTTTAAAACTATGAATCCTACTTTTGCATGTGCTGTTTGTGTTGGTTGCAGTGGCTGAATGACGAGGAACCTTCAATAACTCCCAAGATAATCTTTCACGCAGAACCAAGCCAATTTATTAGCGTGATTTGTACTTAAAAAAAACCGCACACACGCACAGCTTTTATCCACTTGACAACATCTGATCCTTGAAAGAGCCGCGGGGTGGTTTTTTTACATTCTCAGAGTAAACTGGGAATGTTGGGTTGGGGAAAATAAGTCCATGTTTATTCGTAATTAAAGATTATCACCGGTTTCAGCCGGCTGCTTGCAGCAATTTGTTGGTCGAGTGCACTGGGTAACGTCGCACCGTCTTTACAAAGCGAACCACAGGTCTCGAAGCCGAATGGGCAACGAACAATAACGAATCCGCTTTGCATTAAGCCAACAATTGCTTTGTTTGAAACAGAAAATTTTGAGCATCGGCAACTCGGCATCGGGCTCCGCAAAGGAGATCATTAGACAAAAAGTAAAACTTCTCGTTGGAAAAACAGACCTTTTAACAAGCTGCTGAATATCACAATTTCGACAAGATTGAGGGCTTCTCCGTTAAAGTAAAGTTGAAGTTTTTTTTTTTTTTAAAGATCTAGAACCTCAAAGGGTTTGGTTTTTTGGGGGGGGGGGAGGGGGGGTGGGTGGTGAAACGAGACAAAAAGACTTTAAGCGAGCATCAGACATGGCCTTCCTGGACAACCCGGCGATCCTCCTGGCACACATCCGCCAGGCGCACATAACGAGCGACGACACGGGCATGTGCGAGATGGTGCTCATCGACCACGACGTGGAGGGTGGCTGCATCTCGAGTGGCCAGTACGGCCCGGGCGGCTTGAGCCGCAGCTGCCCGCCGTTTGGGCCCGACAGCCGGCGCCTTTCGCCGGCATCACCAGCGTCGCCAGGGTCGCCCGTCTCGGTGTGCTCCTTCGCGTCGCTCATCTCGTCCGGCGGGCGCAGCGAGTGCGAGGCTCCCGTGCTGGAGCACTCGCAGTCGGTGGACATCACCTCCGGGTGGGATTTTGGCATCCGCCCACGCTCGAACACCGGTGAGATGATGCGGCCTGATGTGGAGCTGCTGTGAGCAGCGGGAGCAGCAGCAGCAGCAGATTGTCTGTTGTGCGTGACTTATTGTCGTAGTGGCGAGGGGATACAATCGTTCAATGCTGGTTTGGTTCTTGATGCACTACTGCTTGTGGTGCCAATTCTTCGCTGTAATATTCGGAGTCGAATAAAAGACACCAGCTCGCCAAACGCCGATAAGTGGGTGTGGCTGATGGTGCTGGTGGTGCAGTAGCGGCAATAGCATCCAAGTCCCATTGTGTTGATGGTGCACAACCTCAATCTTTGATAAAGTGAAGGCAACAGTTGTCATTCTTACATCAGTGAATTGCTGTGGTTGATGAAACCGCATAATCAACAGGAGATTACTGGTGAAGGGGAAGGCTCACGCTTGGATTTTTATACAAGCACTGCAGTGTCGATGAAATTCGGCTGGAGTTAATTCTAAGCAGACCCTTCTAAACATTGAGTCTGGACATTTCCTGAGTACTTTATATTATAACCAATATGAGTTTAGTTCATTTTTCATAGTTAATTTATTTGGTATATCCCTGTGAGCCATTCGGCTCTTGAATCGGGTGCAACCGCATGAGAATACGTTTCTGCAAGTGTAGATGGTATTTAAAATGTGTTATGCAGTTTAGTATTGATGGTAACACAAGTCATCTTATAAAGTGCGGCTTTTATTCGTCAGGATTCTATAGCTATTGCATTTAGTTTTGTAAAATTTGAAAAATGGTTTGTTTTTGGATCTCCATTTGAATGCCAAATATAAATGTTGAAGTTGTTAAACTAAAATGCTTAAACATAGTATCCTTTTTTGTAATTGTTTTACTTTTCAGGGACATTAGTTCTGTTAAGTGTTATCAGCATTAGGTTACTTATGCACATCACAGCAATAAAAGCTCCAATTAGTGACAAAATGCTGTTAATTAAGGTCTGCTTCTGCAATTTTAATGACGGCTCCACAAATAATCGAGTATCTGAATTCCTCGTTTTTCCAACATATGCAAACATTTACTGATGAGTTTCAGCATTTAACCATTTTTGTTTGGAAACTTTCGTGACTGCAGGAATCCATACTCTGGGTCTTGCGGTAAAGTCATGTAGGTAGAAAAATAAAATAAAAAAGTGTTAATTTTTAACCATTGTTTAACCCCCACGGGGCAAGGGATGGCACCGTCCGTGTGTTCCCCTTTTCTCTCCCTTTCTACCCCCCTTGCCCCTCGCCTGACAGTTCTTTTTTGCTACCCACCCTACCACCGAAACCCTGCATTTTCATCTTGCCTTGAAATTCCTGAGGGTGGGGGGGTGGTGGTGTCTGAAATGTTTTTGTTAGCAGGGCTGTACCCCGATAGGGGGGGGGGGGGGGGTTAAAAATCCATTAACGCTGGCTGTGGTTGGAATGGTCTAGCAGTGGCAGAGGTAAAGTTTTTTTGTGTCTTGGATCTGGATCAAGCAGCTGGTTTGGTTGATTGCTGCTTCAACCGCAATGTGGAGGGATAAGGAGGTTGGGAAAACTGTTGAATGTTTTAAACGGTTTTGAAATAAATTAATGAATGGTGCAAACTTGTAAATGTGGGGGGGAAATACATTTCAATTGTTAATTAAGTAATCAAGAATGAGGGTGTAAAATATAACTGTTTGCAATGAACAGATGGTAAGCATTGTTGATAGGTTGCCTCATTTTGCATTTTAATTGATGTTGGTAAGAGTGAAAGATTGCTTGGAGAGTGGTACAAATATCCGGATGTAAGGACTGTTGGTCCATCTGATCTCTTGGGCATTTGTAGAATACCTTTTGGACCTCTAATTGGCCTCAAATGTTGAAACCAAGATCATCCAGAAACACTGCAATTCATGCTTGGTTGAAGCAAAAGAAATGGGTAACGCTGGTGGGAATTTACCTTTACAACTGACCTAAAGAACTTGATCACATTTTATACAAGCCTTCGGGTGTTAACTCGGCCCATGATTTCTATGGGGCAGGAAAAATGAATACTAATTCGTGAAAAGTCAAAACAGTGTTTGTCCTGTATAAAATGTGTCCTTGCCATTTGGGGAATGTGGAATTTTTCATCAACCAATGGACACTGCCCAAAGCCTGTTTGTTCAGACAATGTGTTTTTCATACTCTCCTTGGATGATGCACTAAAATAATTATTTCTGTAATTGTTATGAACACCTGTAATAAACAGATTGATAGTTTAACTGCAGTTTAAAGTAACCGATTTGTTTACGGTGAAAGTTTCCCAATGTTGAAATGTGATCCACAAGTGTTTTTTTTTTAAGCCTGTGGTAGAATAATGCCGTAGCAGCGTTTCCCTGTGGTCCAAAGGGGAGGGTTACAAGATTGGCACTGTTGGCTGCGTATGGTGAGAAAAGTTCAATATATGGGCATTGAAGCCATAATTACATATTTACATTATTCTGCTTTCATATGACGCTTGAAAAAAGCAACAGGTTACAACTGTAGTTTTTATGTTATTTTGCAAGCCATTCAATGGCATCGTGGGTAGCTGAGGTGGGGTGTGCGCTTGTTCCACCATAGTGTGTGTTGCACTGGGCAGTCATTGGTGGTATGCCTTGTGGTTTGCGCCTTGGTATTCACGGGTGGACGAGTCATTGATGGAGGAAATAGCCACCTTCCATGTGTTTTTGGGACACTGTTGAAAGGTTCCCCACTGTTGTCAGGGCAGAGAAACCAGGCTGTTACTTGGAGTCTTCGCCAAGGTCGTTGTTTGGGACTTCACCGTTGGCTCTCTTCTTGTGCCATTTGGGTGGTCGGGTCCCTTTTTTGTTGGCTGGCAAAATATATCTGCATTGAGCTTTGGCAGTGCTCAGGCGTGGATTGATTTTTTTTTTACATTCACCTCATACTTAAGGGGTTAATTTTCTAATCTCATTTGTGTATTTTATTAACACTGCATTGGTCACAGCTGAATGTAAAAAAACAGCTATTTATTTATCATTGTCAGGTCCTCCAAGTACATAAACAAGCAACGTCCCCATTTGTAGATCCCTCCATCTTAAAGTATTTCTTACACAACCATCGGCTGAGTGGCCTTCTGGGAGTGCATAATTTCAGCAGCATTGTTTTAAGACGCACCCGGACCAATTTTGATAAGGTTTGTCATCAGCAGTCAAACTTGCTTGAATCCGTGTTTGACTGCTGATCTTGCAGGCAAGGACCCTCTTTAACAATATGGGCTCTTGAGCTCGACCCAAAAAGTAGACCAGTAAGTATTGTATGCGAAATCACTTTGTGACAACTTTGAGTATTGCTGGCAACCCATGACAACACATTGCCTTACATCCTCGAGGCATGAGCGAGTTGTTTTGGCCCTCCAGGAAACACGTTTTTGGGCTGCTATTTCAAATCTCTATGGCACCTGTAAGTAGGTTTTGCTGCATTTGTATCTGTGCATACATGTGGCGATTTAATATTTATTGCCACCCCTGGCCTCCCAGGGTCTTCATTTCAATAATCGATTTTTTTTGCGATCATACCTTTTTGGCATTGGCTTTCATTTTAGTGTTTTGTACATGCCATAAGCTGAAAAGTAACATATGACCATCGGAATATCATTAGCTAAATTTGTCAAAGTTTTTCATTTGATATGGTGCATGCATTGAGTATTTTAATTGGTAATTTTATCTAAAATGTCGTGAGTACACTTTGTGGTTGGCACAAGTGCACATGCAGAGCACGAGTACCCAGAGATGGAGGAATCCAATCTCTTGGCCATATGTTGAATTTTCAAGTCAGTTCCTAAAGAAGCTCCCAGCACCATGGACTGAAATGTCAGACCATCATACGAAGTGACACGTGGTACAACACAAATATACATCGGAGTGCCAATCTTTTTTTTATAATATATTGTGCTCCAACAATTATTGTTGCCTAATGTAGAATGAGGGTGTCGATGTCTGTATTGTAAAGTCATCTGTTTGCTTGCTGAACTATTTACGGTCACATGCTCACAGGGTCACTGACCCTGTGAGTAAGCAGCGGCTAATAATACAATCGACATGGAGGTAAATGTTATATCTTTCAAAAACTCTAAATCCGCAAGTCGGACAGTCTGACACTTAATCGAGTGTTAACTGCTTGCCAACAGCCCCTTGGCCTAATGCAACTCCAACGTTTTGGAACAGCCTTAGTTCCTCTCTTACCATCCTACGTCTTCCTTCAAAAAAATTAGTTCTGTATACAACTGCATTTGCCAATGTAATTTTGTAACTTTTGAGCCATTCCCATTTTATTGATAGGTCAACTGGGACTTTTTGCCTTTTTACTGCTTTTCCAAGCTTGCATTGATGTACTTATGCAATTTTAACGCGCATTATTTATTTAAGGGCTTGTATACTTTATTTTATGTATTTACTAGCTTGACTACCCGGCTTTGCCCGGGACTTGGATTCACGACGCCCGGCCGCATTTGTGTCCCCAGTGGCGATGTTCAAACACCACACCAGTTACTCGTTTGAGGCTGAGTAGACCTAGGGGAGGCCCATGACCAGTTCATATAATCGTCATCGGTGGTGGCCGTGAGCGGGAATTGAACTCGGGTCGCTGGGTTCGTAGCGCAGCGCACTAACCACTACACTACCGCTCCCCACAAACGCACGCTCGTCCATAGGTATACATACACGCGCTTGCAGCAGACAAACACAACTTTCAGGGTGCGTACCGCAGTAAACGACTTAAATAATTAAACAATGCTACGCGAAGAACGCCTTGGACCTGCAACACATTGGCATTTCACTTTACCCGCGATCAGCAGGCACACTCAGTTACGCTTCCGCGCACGGGTCACATGACAGATGTGACGTCATAGCTCACTTGCCGTGCAAAAAAAATATGCATTATTGAGCTACCCCCCCCCCTCCAAAAAAAAGTGTTTTTATTTTTGCATGGTGTACAGTCTGGAAAATACCCACATGGCAAATTTCAAGTTTGTTGCATGTCGGGAAGTACGCTAAACATTTTGAACAGACGTGCATAATGACAACTTTTGCTTTATATATATGGAGATTTATGTATTTCTAGTGATTTACTTACCTTTCGTATACTTTGTACTCCTATAGTTTTGTGTAGATGTTTAACTTTCTGACCCACCTCCACTGGATATCTTAAAAAGAGCTTCATAGCTCATCGGATTTCTCCCAGGGTAAATGCATGTTATGATCTGTGATGGGAACAACAGAGTTTCGTGAGCATTTGTCACTGCCATTTTTAATCCTCGAAGATTTTGAGGTGACTTTCAACAGTTTTCTGTGTGGGGTTATTTGTTCAGTTCTGAATATGCCAGGTAAAATCATGCATTTTTGAAGAGGTTCCTGAAGTGGTTCACAAACGAGTTCATTAACCCATTTTTCCATAATGCCATCACGTGGCCTCTCCTGAAAACGTTATCTTACAAATCTGACGGACCCATGCCCCTCAACCTTCCAAAGAGCTGGATTTACGCGCGCGTTCACCACCGCGCGGCCCGGCTTTTAACGATGGCTGCTTGTGTGGTGCTCTACAGCGCAGAGGCTTGAGCGGTTAAGGAAAGAGCGCCAGAACCAAGTGAAGTGCAAAAACATCCCGTGGAAGGATCGGGGCACTCGGCAGTCTTGTAAGTATGCACACATTCACAAAACGCTGTTGTCGTTTGCGCTGCGGGATTAACGCGGGTCTGAAATTTACAACTTTTTCCCAAGGTATTTGCAGGCGTAAATGCTCTGTGTCAAAACCTCCACAATTGTACGTAAAGTTATTTTGCCACCGTGTGTTTGTGAACAATTGGTGCTCTCAGCACGTGGTGCTGGCGACTTGCTGGTATTGATGGGCAACAAATGGGTATTTAATGCATGCAAGGTGTAGAAACGACGTGTCGAAAAAGCTTTGCGATCGTTATTAAAGCACAAAGTAATCATTTCAAAGAGGTGTCATTTTTAAAGTTGTTGTGCATAAAAAAACAATTAAGGTACCACTGGCAAGTAATTTTTTTTTGGTCTAAGGAGAGAATGGAGCGGCGTACTGCCCCCATACTTGTTAACTCTTTGCAACAATTTGACTTTGGTAACAAACTGGAGATTAAAATTCATTATTAAATGGTGTGTCCATTTTTGTAAGCGTGGTCAGTGACACGTGATGTATTGGCATTTTTTTTAAAGACCATTCGTTGATAATTCTCTACTGGTGAGAAATATCTTGACTGCAAATGTGGACTTGGAAATGTATTCTCAACAAAGGATTGACATTGCTTTCAGACGCGTGGAGTTTGGCACAGCAAGCCAATGAATATAATGAGCTGAAATGTGTATCGGTGTTGTAGTTTGTACACTACCACAATCCAGCAACATTTTTGCACCGCCAATTAGCACGATAGGCTACGTACAGTGTGAAACACGTATACCATGCATACAACAAACACGGCTTTCCTGGTTCATCACATCCACACGCTGCCTGAATCTTTTCGAGCTCTCCTAAGTTTATTTGGTCCCTAATGCGAAGCTAGTTTGTGTGTGCGAATGAAATAAGCTTGGCTACCCCACGTGCCGTGCCAATTTTAAGTGCTCAATAACATAACGGTCATTTGGCCAACAAATAAGGTTAAACTGGGGATGTGTTTTGGTATGCGGTTGCGCAGAGGTCACTGCTACGAAGACGGCTGCCAAAGTTCAGTTCCCGGCCACGTAACAATCTGTGGCATACGATATAATATTATAACTGGTTGTCCTTCTGTGTCCATCTCGACCTTACTCGGGTACCTGGTGTGCAGTGTAAACATTAGCAAATGGGGAAGCTAAAGTTGATCTGGGCGTGGTGCTGGCAACGCATCCCCTTGTGTGCCTTCCTAGTATTAATGTGCTTGTGAACAGCCGTTTGGTAGTCTGTAGGGAAATACAGGGGACTTTTTTTACTTTGTGCACATGCCCTGTTTGTGCATGTGTGGGGAGCACCAGTGCAGTGGTTGGCGTGCTACGAACCTAGTAACCAGAGTTTGATTCCCACTCACAACCAACACTAGTGATTATCTGATCCTGGGCCTCCTAGGACGAATCCGCCTCAATGAGTACCTGGTGCGGTGTGTAGACGTCCCCACCAGGGACACAAAGGCGGCCGGGCGTGGTGCTGGCCACCCACCCCCTCGTGTGCCCATGCCGGCCTTTATAGGTGTTTGCTAACAGCACTTGTTCCAACAGTCTAAGGCAGTGGTTCTTAACCTTGTTGGAGGTACCGAACCCCACCAGTTTCATATGCGCATTCACCGAACCCCTCTTTAGTGAAAAATAAAATGTGATTTTTTTTTTCAAATTCAAGACATAGATATGTTTTTTACTGGTACACAAAATGAGCCGTGCATGAACATTACCTTGTTCAAAGAATAAAACCAACACAATGCATAAACTCACAACAAATTACATACCTGGAAATCAATGTGACTTCTGCTGTTGCCTTTGAGAGATCAGTTCAGATATGCGTGGCTTCACCTTGGCAAGTGCCACTCTCATGTCATTTTCACAGCAAAGTCTGTTCCTTTTTCTTCTTCTTTGGTTCTTTCGGTAAAGTCACGTAGAATGAGAATAAAATAATAAATTGATAAAATAAAATAACACAATAATATTCTCACGACGTTTCGGCCACAACACAAGCGGCCTTCATCAGGTGAAGGGAGCGAGACTGTCTGGTAGGACAGCGCTGGAGTGAAAAAATTCTGTTCCTTTTCTTCGTTTTTATGTCCAGCATCCTCGAAAAGGATTGCTCACAAAGATATGTTGTAACAAATGGTATAAAAAAAATCCAGGGCTTTCTTAGCAATAACTGGATACTTGTTCATTTGTCGACACCAAAACGTTGAGAGCGTTGTTGTTCTGAAGAGTTGCTGTTGAACCTGGCTCTGCTGAATTTCAATGATTTCGTCGAGGAATTCATCATTGACATCTGCTGTTTCAACAGCAAACGTGAACGGCTGTCTCACCCATGCTGGATATGACTCTCTTGTAGGGAAATATCCGTCGAGAGACTTTGCAAGCTCATCTAAGTGCGTGGCAATTGTTTGCTTCAGTTCCGTGGATACAGAAATATCTCTGATTCCAGACACATCTTCGATCTTACTTGCACAGTCGTCCAGAAGCGGGAAGTTTGCGAAGTTATTGTTCTCTGTTCGTCGTTTCCATAACGGTAGCGTTTTTTGAAAAGCCTTCAGGTGTTCTTCCGCTTCCATGATATTGACTCCACCACCCTGCATCTGCTGATTGAGATGATTGAGAGCTGCAAATATATCAGCCATGTACGCTAAAATGAGAATGAACTCAGGATTTTTGAAGCAATCTGCATGGCAGTGTTGGTGCTCTTGCAAAAACAGGGCTAATTCCACACGCATGGCAAAAACACGATTCAGCACCTGTCCCCGGGATAACCACCGAATATTAGACTGGAGCAGAAGTACCTCAAATTCAGAGCCCATTTCTTTACACAGCTCACTGAAGATGCGGTGCCTCAGAGCACTTTTTCGCACATAGTTCACACATTCCACCACAGTTTTTAATACTTCTGCCATTTTTGGAGGTAAGGTTTTTGTTGCCAACGCATGCCTGTGCAGAATACAATGCGTCACAATGATGTGTGGTGCATCGGCCTTTACTAGCGCACCAAAACCAGACTTTCTTCCCAGCATGACTGGAGCTCCGTCCGTACAAACTGCAGAAACCATATCCCATGAAAGATTGTTGTCTCTGAAGAAGTCATCCACAAGCTTCTTCACATCGGCTGCCTTCGTTGTTGTTGTAAGAGGCTTACAAAATAAAAACTCTTCTTTTATCATGTCGTCTTTCACATGGCGTACAAAAACAGCAAGCTGGCTTAGATCAGAAACGTCTGTGGTTTCGTCGAGTTGAAGGCTGGATTTGGCCGGGCTTGAAATAAGATCCGCGACTACTTGAGCCAAGATGTCTTTACTCATGTCTTCTATTCTGTCACTGACGGTGTCATTTGAAAGGGGAATTTGGGATAGTTTACCTTCGGCCGCTGTTCCGAGTATCAGATTCGCCATCTTTAATGCAGCTGGTTTCACAAGTGTTTCACCAATGGTGTGTGGCTTGCCCTGCTTTGCGATCAGGTAAGCAACTTCGTACGATGCTGTCAGGATCGGTTTGTTAACAGGTACAAATCCAAGAGCAGGCAGAGTGGCCCTTTCATCGAATCTGGCTCTCTTCACCCTGAATTCAGCAAGTGTTGTGTTCTTGTATTCCCCGTCTCCATGCAGCTTCAAGAAGTGTTCCTTTAGTTTTGCCGGTGCAAGACTAGAGTTGCTCAACTTGGCGTTGCAAATCATGCAGATAGGACGCTCACTCCCATCACGTTCCGTGATACATGAGAATCCATGTTGTACATATTCGTCCGACCACTTTCTTCTTTTGCCCGACATAGTATGGATAAAATATTAAAGAAATCACACGACGTACGACAACAACAGTCACACGTTGACTACTGAGTACGCACTAAATTCCCCGCAGCGCTGATTGGCCAAGCAGTGTAGCATGATCATCTGCAGCCAGTGATGGCCAAGCGGGCCGTGTGTGTCATCACAAATTTACACAATAATTCAAGTGTGTCCGGACCTCCGTGGCGGGGGCTCTGCCGAACCCCTGAGATTGACTCACCGAACCCCTGGGGTTCGATCGAACCCAGGTTAAGAACCACTGGTCTAAGGCTATGCTGGGGGGGGATCTTTTGTTTTTGTGCTCTCTTGCAGCGGAGGAGCAGGCACTGCTCTTTGACAAGAAAGATTTCCGGACAAAGCGCGCGGAGGCGGCAGCCGCCGGCGCGGCCACCTCACTCCTGTCCATGCGTCTGGAGAAGTGTCCCCAGCAGCTCAACAACCCCTTCAACGAGTTCTCAAAATTTGACGGAAAGGTGAGCCCTCGTGCCGACGACCTGGGGCCCTCCTCTGATCCCCTCTTCGAGCCCCCCAGTGTCTCCTCCGGGTGTAAATACGAACCTGACGATGGCACTTGGGAGTTTCCTTTTGACGTTTAAAAGGGGGTGACCTACTTGAAGTTGCAAAGAATGTCATGCTTGGACTTTGGTTTCTTATTACGGGATGTTTATGCCACCATTTTTAAGCTGAGGGCAATCGCGTATTTTGACAATTTATTGTCTTTTATAGTACAGTGACGTTTTTGTGGTAAATACGACCAGTGTTATGGAAATGTGAGCAGGGCTAAAAAAAACCTTAACGCATCAATTTGTCACGTGGAAAACTTGACTTTGTTTAAACGTCTGCCAGGTTTATAAGGGTTTCCGTGGCCTTATTGCATCGTCTCTGCACCTCGTGATATTAGCAAAAACAAAGTCAATCTCGCAACCCTTTCAGTTTTAAGTGCAATGCGTTTTCTACCGTCACATTTGTTTATTGCCCTTCGCTCTTTTTTTTCCCCACCCTGGTCCGGACATTCGTTTTTAAATACCGCCCCAGTGTTAAAATATTACTACCTCCCTGTCCAACGCTCCTTATGTAAGCACACTATTTTTATTTACAGTTATCTTCTTCCTCAATATGTTTGCATGGTGAATTGCGACGTTCGGCAACAATCGCCAGCTGTGCGTCTTTTTAATGTTTAACAGTCGGGGGGGGGGGGCCGGGGCCATCTCCTTTCTCCAAGAGGGAGGGGGACGGTTAGTGATGAAGAGTTGAGCGATGTCACAGTCCTTGCAGCATACTCTGCTGCTGATGCTGTTTTACGATTTTTTTTTTTACAAGTGCCTCCGCTCTCCCATGCTGAATCCTACGTGGAGAGCAAATGTGCAGTGGATTCCAGTGCAGCTGTAACCAACACTTGAACTTTTGTACCCTGACGACTTGAAAGTGTTTTTTGCCTGTGGTGGGTTTTTTGTTGATGGGAGGTGGGGGGGTTAGTTTGTGAACTTTTATCAAATAAAGTGGCTTTTTTACAATATAACCAGTACAGAAGTCTCCAAAGGTAATATGCTGTTGAGAGCTGAAATAGCGATCGGATTTATTGTCCATGCCGGTCGTTATTAAAAAAAAAACAACAACTCTGACCTGTTCCCCCTTCTGTGCTTGACTCAATCTGAATATTGTTTTCAAATCCAGTTTGGGGTCAACTGGGAACGACCAACCTCGAGAGACGATAAGACGACTGCCGCTTCGTGGGATGTCGCCGGTGCTTGGTCTTGTGCGGCGATTGTTTTCTTGTCTGTGTAATATACAGCCCATTTTCATCAAACCACTGCCCGAGTGAGAGAGCCTCCCCCCCCCCCCCCACCCCCACCATTGTGCCAGTCGCGTTCTTTGACCCTACCGAACCACTCTGATTGGTGTGGGCAACTGAAGGTAGGTAGCGTTGCTGTGGCAACGATGGATTTTGCTGCACTGCAGTCTGCATCGTTTGTTTTGTGCATTGCCCTGTCCTATGCAAACGCCTGCCTCTTCCAGGTTCCAACCCTGCTTTGCTTCTAAGATCTGCCGAAATCGTTTGATTTCGGTCACGGCAATTCGCGCTCGGTAACGTGGAACCCCGCCTTTTTTGCTCGGTTGCCAGTGAAGATGAACACCATCTCATGCTGTCTCCTGGCAGTGAGTGACAGCTGGAACCCATCTTGTTTGCTACGGGTGGGGGCGGGGGGGTGGCGGCAAACCACTATCAGGTCGTGTGTTTAAATCGGCACCTTTTTAGAATAATTGTCCGATTTGGAACAACCCCGAACAAAATGAATGCCGTGCGGTGCCTTGGCCCGGTGTGTTTCAAATTTTTAAATATTCCCACTTACCTGATGACGGCGGTAGCCTTTTTCAAGTCGTTTCCTTCCATGGGTGGAAGCCTGGAGTGGCGTTCACAACTGCTTCTGCACGCGAGTTAGCCGATGGCCTTACATTGACGCTTAGCATTTTGAATGCTCGGAGCACATGGGCAATGAGGACTGATGTCATTCTAAATGGACAGCATCGAAGCGCCCTGCACCGCTAGGCTATTGCATTTTAAATGGCCATTTTGACTTTCCAAGTCTACGTTTTAGGGTGAAGTGCCTTTTGGAGTTTGAGTTTGTGTACGTGCTTAAATGAGCATCGGGGTGTCTGTCGGGCTGCGCTGGTGGCTTTGAGCCAGCAGTGAAAATTGCGTGGAGGCCAATCTGTATTGGAAGATCGGACTTCTTCCAAAAGCAGAACGACGTGCTTTTAATCATTTCTGGAGGGATGATGGAGCCGGGCCCGAACCCGCCTTCTGGACTTAAACCATTTTTGATTAGGGATTCGAGTGGTCTGAGCACAGCACGGGCTTGCTGGATAAAAGCAAGCATCCATGTGCGTGCTTAAATTATGGTATTGGTCATCCATGGTGGAGAGAAGTAGGTACCGTTTTGACTTGAAATGAGTGCTTTTGTTGGGCAGTGCCTTCCCGCGTGTAGATTTGTATCAACAACCGTGGTGCGGTTCACATTTCAAGGTTTTGATGTTGCTGGGTGGCTTTGAGGGTGGGGGTGGGACTTTGATATGGGGTGTAACGATGTATCCATTCAATATTGATTCTTAAGCTCTCGGTACACGCATTGAATTTTTTTTTACGGAATTTGTTTTTAATTGGTTATGTAATGTATACAAATTTGTGCGTGATTTTTGTTAAATATTTGAAGATGTTTTGGGACAGGTGTGGTTCTCGCCACCCACCCCCTTCATAAGTGCTCTCTTAACAGCACTTTCCCCAACAGTCTAAGGCTATATGGGGTATCTGTCTTGGTCTGTTAGTAGGGAGTGGTAGTTGGCATGCTGCGCTATGAACCCAGCGACCTGAGTTGGATTCCCACTCACAGCCAACACCAGTGACGATTATCTGACCATCCAGCAGTGGACAAGATCATGCTATAGGAAGATGACGAATTTGTTCACGTGAGCCCTGCACTACATGCTGCCACAGTCGCGACATTAAATTTTATAGAATTGCAATGGTTCAAATGAATCTCTGGGGAGCAGGGGGGTGGGAAGAGTGCTAATCATGAGGCCAATAACAAATGTCAACACACTTGCGCTGGCAATGGTGAGATCCTGGATTTAAGTCTAGGCAACCACCAGCGATTGTAGACTCTTCTCAACTGTGGTGAATGGGATACTCTCAGCCTGGTCGCCCCCGCCTTATTTTGATTTATGATGTTCATTTAATATCACATGCCATTTGAAAATAAATAAGGACTTCATATGACACGCCTTGCCAGGCATACAAAAGGTACACTTGTACTGTGGACGAGCGGCTTATCAATAACTAGTTCTGATACGGCTCCCATGAGGGCCGTTCTTTTGATCTAGGGCGTTGCACTGCCTTGGTGCGCGTTTCAAATGTAAATGCCATCTCTTATGACACTACGAGGAGCACAATTGGACTACAATTGCGAGTAAACCTAAGATGTCGTTTTTTTAATTGCTTCTATTTGTATATTATAATTGTTTTCTCGATGAGGCAAGGTTGCATATTAAAAGATGTGGTTTGACCGTAATAATTTTCGCCCTCTTTGTCCCCGAGGGGTCTTATTTCATTAGGGTACATTACAAATTATCTGCGAGCAATGGAGGTGCACGCCGCATGGCCATCGTTAAAATTTATTTCAGGTAGGAGGGGATTACAGGTGGAAAGGTTAACGTTTTTAATTCATAATTTGCTGCTTTGTATTCTGAGCGCCGGAACTAGGAGGGATCTTAAAAAAACACACGGGATTTTCGGCATAAAGTTGCTTTGTGTTTTTTTTTTTCCCCAATTGGTATCTATCGGTAATTTTCCAACTGGCAGCATTGTTACAACAACTTTGTAACAATGCGTGTAGAAAATGCAAGAACGTCATAATTCCATGCACTAAAATGACAATTGGAGTTTTGCAGTAGGATGTCAAATGGCTACCGTCGCGGATCTTAACCAGCCAACACTTGGTGCGCTGTAACGAGATTTCTATAGACCTTCACAAATCTGACCTTTTAAAGAACGGCTGTGTGTGTGTTCTTAATCTCGTGTACGTTCGCGCTGTGAATCAAGAGCAGCAGCGTGCAGCATTTCGCCGCGTTTTCAGGTGGCTTGCACTTTCATTTTGTCCAGCCTCTTTTATGCACGGTGTAACTTGACATTTTTAAAATTAATGTTTGCATATCCGTACTTCTCTCACATCCACCGAGCTCCAATTCTCCGGCGAGTCAAATTTGCGACTACCGTAATCTACATTTTAAAATCATGAACTGCTCGACCGGTGCTCCGTTTACGCAAGTTACTCGGTAGCTTGTGGTAAATTCCACATTGACCTGGGGTGAGGGTGGGGTGTTAGTGCTGTAGGCTTGCCACAGTAGTACTTCGTTTATTGACTGCAGGATGATAATTGGTTGATCAATCCATTGATACAATTTGGATTTATAGAGCATCTAAATGTAACTTTGTCTGGAGACTAAAGAGAAACGGCATGCACGCGATGTGTGATTTGCTATAGGAATTTCGAGCAGCATATGGACACTCAAGTAGAACAAACTTGCAAATGAATTTAAATATTCTTTTAAAAATGAAACCCGTTTTCAGTTCGATTGATTAATTTTTTGGGCTAGTTTTAAAATTAAATTTACTTTCATTTGTAACCTCGTGTCCTTTGACGACTTGCTCTGCAATGGTACCACCTGAACAGATACCATTCTGACACTGCAGAGGAATAGTTTTTATGAAAGCAAAAACGTTTTTTACCATTACATACCATACCCCCTGAAATTCCAATGCCGTGGCGTTTTATTTTTATTGCTAATCGTGGTCGAGCATGGACTGCCCTGCGCGGATGGCGTCTCTTACGAGGGTGGAGGGGGGGGGATCACCGTGCTCTCAAGATTGTGGGTGGAGAAAGTTGTTGGTGAACCAGCACAATAACCCCTCGCCTTT